CTGAGTGTGCCAGGCTCTGCTGTAGAATCTTTAAGTTCAGTTTGTACCAACTGATGCTTCATTTCTTGTCACAGCTGCTTTATTTTCTTAAATTTTACTTTTGAGATTATAACTACAAAATTTCTAAATCCCTTTCCTCTATCCATATCACATATATATACATATATATATGTATATATATGCTCACCTTCAAATTTATGTATTCTTTTTTCACTAATTGTTATTGCATCCATATATGTACTGTATATACATATATATTCCTAAATACAAGCTGACCAGTCTGTATAATATTACCTGTATGTATGTTTTCAGATGTGACTGTTTGGCAATGGGCAACCAATCGGTGTGGTCTTCCCTGGGGAAGGACACCTCTCCCTGCTCCCGGACCCCCTCAGTTGCTTGTAGTTCTTTGTGTGGGACTAAAGGCTCACGGGCCTTTCTCCATCTACTTTGGCATGTCCATTGGTTGTCCTTGTTCAGTTCACATTTGGGCAATCATGTTGGTGAGACATTCTGGATATAGCATCTGATGTTATTAGGAGACATAACTTCCTAGGTTTTCTATTAATGAAAGTAAGAATTTAAATAATCTTTTCAAAAAACTTGTTTATGGGGCTGGAGGAATAGCTCAGCCTTTACAATTGGTTCTTGCACTTGCAGAAGATCTGAATTCTATTCTCAGCACCCATGTCTTGGGGCTTACAGCCACCTGTAACTCCAGTTCCAGGGGATCTGATACCCTCTACTGGCCTCCACACTTGCACAAAGGTGTGCATACACACAGAGAGACACACAAGCATAAATAATAATAAAATAAATGTGCTTTTAAAAATAACCATGCTTAAGATGGTGGAAAATTTTTTTCTAGTAACATAGGTTGAAATCATTATATATATATATATATATATATATATATATATATATATATATATATTCATAGAAAAGATAAGCTGATCAAGGATAAAACTAATAGGACATTATCTTCTTCCAAAGATCCCAATATCTGACCCCCCTGCCTTCAGGGTATTGTGCAAGAATGATTTGAGGACAATTATTTCTTATACAATCTAGTTTTTTTTCTTGGCTCCTTGCTTAAATTTTTTTTTAAATTTATTTTTGTAATTCAAAATATTTTCTAGGATTATGGGTATCATTTTACCAAACTTTATGCAGCAGGGTACACATTTTAAAAAATATTCCTCCAAGGTAAATATTCAGGGTCGCGACGCCAGCTTTAATTACTTAGCCTTTACTGTTAATCTCTGGAAGATGTTTATTTTTCATGTGCTCTCTACATTACTACTGCTGTCTTCTGCAGGGTTCCCCCTGGCTGGTATTGTTTTGTTGTGTTGTGTTGTGTTTCATTGACTCTAAAGCAGATTTTAATTCTGTAGTTAGACCATTGACCTCTTTGCATCCTCCTTATTTCAAGAATGCCCCTCTGGATCATTTTTCATCTCCACAGTATCTTGGTTAACTAATCCTCTTTTCTTTACAAATTTCTTCCTTGTAGCCTAGTGAGAACTGTGTATAATTCTGAGAAAATTCACTCTTTCAGCTACAACAAACAGTCTTCAGCCTGGCTAGAAAAACAAAAGCTATAGATTTCTCTTGGGCATATCAAGAAGTGACATCTCCTTTGAAAAGAAGATGGCCACCAAGCTCTCTGATTGACCCAAACTATGGCTCCTGACAGGACAAGCAAAAAAAGGTGTTTTGTCTTCCCCTCACTGAGCCAGCACAAGTGCCAGACCGACAGCTTTCTTCAGTTCCAGTGGACAGATATTTTGTGTGAATTTTTACCTAGGGTGTCCATCCCATATTTATGTATGTGGGCATTCTTCTTTTCCCGTGCTTTCACAAGTGTTTTGAAATAAAAACAGGAGAAACTATACCCAAGACTCCTAGACAATACCTTCCATTTGGAAGTCTTGACTACAATGACTATGTGGGCTATGGAAATAATTTTCCAGAAACCGTCATTATTAATAAATAGAATAAATGGACATTCTATTTAAAAGTAGACCCCCCCACACCTGAAATGGCCCAAACACTTCATAAAATTGTCCTGTTATTTTTAAGACCTAAAATTTTAGACTAACTTCGTGGTAGCTTATTTTAACACTCTAAAATCTATGCAGCAGGGCTCACCTCGACACGCTTGAATGCTGAATATTTCATGCTTGGACAAAGAGCAGACTGCAGGTCTCTCACCAAACACACTCGATACACTTGAGCATGGGTTACCAAAAAACGCTGAAGATTTTTTTCTATTTATTGTTATAGCTCAAATCCTTGTGTCTCTTGTAGGCTTTAAGTGACATAAATATGCATTTCCATCTGCACATCCTTGTCAGGAATAGTTCTACTGGGAGGTGTTATGCCACCCAAGTTCTTCCAGAATAGAGCCTGTTAATCCTGTTACCACTATAGAAACTCAGAGGAAAAGTCTACCCAGGCCACTACTGCAGCTGCTGTGGCTGTCCACATTCCAGCAACCACACCCTGGGCACCCAAAGGAAGCACAGGAAAATTCCTTAGGTAGGAGAGGATATACACTGTTGACCTTGGTCTTTTATTAAGGCCGTGGTCTCCAAACTTTTTACTGGAAATCTTGTAAATCTTTAGTGAAAAAATTGCAGGGGACAGGATGGATACTAAGCCTAAGTAATACTTATGTACAGAGAGAGAGAGAGAGAGAGAGAGAGAGAGAGAGAGAGAGAGAGAGAGAGAGAGAGAAGAGAGAGAGAAGAGAGAGGAGAGAGAAAGGAGAGAGAGAGAGAAAAAAAAGAGAGAGAGGAGAGAGAAAGGAGAGAGAAAGGAGTGAGAGAGAGAGAGAGACTGTATGTCTATGGACACAGACGTTGCCATATTAACTTGAATATACCATAAAGTATAGAAAGATTTACTATATAAAATAAATATACATTACAGGAAGTGATACTCTCTATCTTCATTGGACAGGCTTGTGCCTCCTTGTAAGCACACTTTTAACACTTTCAGACCACTGGGATAAATTTCTACAGGAAGGTCATTAAGAATATAGGTCTGAAACCCTCTGTTGGGCCTTTTCATAGATTCAGCAGCTCGCCCGATTGAATAGGAGGCACAGAAGCTGTGGCTGAGCCTGTGGTTTGCTTTCCTGTGTCCTAGAGATAAAGATTTTTTGTCAGTGTGGCTTGACTTCCGATGTCTCAAGGGCCGCTGTGTAGATCTTATGTCTACTTTATGCTTATAGAAGTCCACCGTAGGTGGATGATGATTCCATGAAGGCTTGGAAATCAATAAGAAGTCATCCAAGTCCCCAGTGGGTATGTTTGCCACCTCCCACCTCCCAAGAGCCAGGTTTTCATTTAAAGAACCCAATTAGCATCCATCCAATAAATACTTAAAACAAAAATTTATTGATCTATAAATACATAATGAGTATTTCTAAATGCCCAATCCCATGTAATTTAATAGTTTTCTAAATTACCCAGGATCTAGTTGTAGAAGAAAAATTCCACAGAAAAGCGGTGGGTATGAAAAAAATCCTTCCTACCCCTTGTAGCAGTGCAAGACTGTTTATTCAGCTGCTGGAAATTGCACACTCAAATCCAAGTTCCCTTCAAATTGATAAAAATAAATTATTGTAATGGTAAAATCTAGAATTGGCTACAGAACAAGAGAGAATTTCTTCCCTTTTATTCTTGGTATGAGCCAAAATGGACTGAATTTCTCTGGAAAGCAAACTGTATTAATCTTTTCCTATAGTCTCAAACTATAGAAACTAACAAATATGAGATAAGACTCACATGCATGACGTTTATTTCAAGAGTATTTATAACAGCAAAAATAGAAGCAACCCACATTTTATTGGATGGAGAACTGTAGTTCGTGGTATGCCACACTCGTAACAGTGTGCAATCTTTGTTTCCCCATTCTGAGTACTCTTTGTGTCCTAGGGGCTTTTCTGGTATGTAGTAATTAATTAACAGATAGGGTCTCAGAAAGGCGGCATCTTAAATGTGGAAAGACATGCATCCCTTAAGCAAGTAAACAAATAAGCAAATGTGGAAACTTAAACACTGACACAATAAAAATGGCTGATTGCAAAGTCTACTGGATTATTTCCTACAAGAGATTTTCAGCCTTGGCACTATTGATTCCTAAAGTCGCAGTCTGTAGCTTTCAGGTGGGAAATAAGGGAGCTCCTATATACAGTGCGATGTTTGACAGCTTCCCTGGCTTGTAACCATGTAATGTTAGTGAGACCAATCCTGGGCACGGCAATCAACGCTTACATTTCCAGAAGACCCTTGAGGGAGTGATGGCAAGATCTGACTCTGGGCAAAATGGAAGATTTCTTTGAGGAGATGACAGTTGAGCAAAAATTTGAGGAAGATTTTAGTAATCTTTAGGGTATAGGGAAATGGATGTAAGACAGTGATAACTTGAGTGTCATGTTCAATAATGTCACAATACATGTCCATTGAATGTTGGCTGAAACAGGAAGTGTAGCACATTGGTTAGGAGCCTCGCCTTGAAGCCTGGCTTCCTTGGTTAAAAGTCCAACTATATTACTGACAAGTGGCAACTTAGATAAGTTCTCTATAGCAGTGTGCCAGTGTAGTCATGGGTAAGTTGGGGGTGCTCTTCATAGTGTCTATCACAGGGCTTGGGGGAGCATGAGATGAAGTACTTTAGGCAAGACTCTCAGAATAATGGGTTTTTATTTATATTCATGTGTTAATTTAAGTCAGAAAATATAATACTAACTGGCTCTTCAAATATACATTAATATATTAGTATTATAATTACAATCTAATAAACATATAATAATCATTACCTAGGTAGAATATAGAAGGAATTCTAATATGTAAAAATTTGAAAATACAGTATATATTTAAAATCTAATTAACATATATGTAAACACACATACATACACACACACACACACACATATATATATATATATATATATATATATATGCCCATAAGGTATTTCCACCTTGAGGAAACAAAGAGCAGCAACAGATAAAAAATGGTAAGCATCAGAGAGCATTTTATCGTCTTTGTGTCTTCCTATATTCCTTACATTTTTACATACCAATACAAATTTTGCTTTGAGTTAAAAGTAAAAATCAGAATGTATTTTGGCCCAAAAGAACTATATGAACACCAACAAAGATCAGCTTGGATACTGAGTGGAAGACAAAGACAAGAGGGTTGAATTCAAAACACCTCCTTCAGGGATGAGTCTATTGTCACCTGAAAGTTGAGAGACCCATTTTGCTTTTGTTCCTCAGCTGTTCAATCAGCTGAAAAGCAGGTGACACATACTTGCTGCCAGACACTATGCTGGGACCCTCCCTATGAAAAGAGTGTGCACATGCATCCCTCAGGAATCACCACAGAAAGGGAAGAGGAAACATCCATGATAATCATAGCACCAGAAACTCAGAAAGAACTACGATGAGGATTTCAACCCAACTTTTCAGAGTTTCCATTGGGATTGGACAGCAGGTTCAGGGCAGCTTCCCAGACTAGGCTTGAGTTTGCAAAAGCCAATCATTAGTTATCCAGCTCGCCTTAAACAGACATCTAAGGTGTGTCCTAACCACACACCAGCAAGATCAGCTGCCTTGAAGAGCTGGCAGGGATGAAAAGAGTCATTCCGCAAGACAGTCCAACTTCTGATCAGCATATCTGGGGACTATAGTTTGGGTGACAATGGGAACTAGAGGCACACAAGGTGCACGCTGCAGCTCCGCCTTTCACTAGCTGTGTACCTGGGAGGACCTGCTAGTACCCTCACCTGCCTCCTCACCCACAGGCAGTGACAGCCCTCTACCAGACTTCTGTGAGCTGGACATGTGATAGTGTACCTGAGAAACCTTAACCCACAATCAAGTACTTGGGATGAGTAAGCTGATACAGCTTTAACATAGTAGAAGATGTTTTCGGGAGAGCTTGATCGTTTAACATTTATTTTAAACACTAATAGTGAGAAACCCAACTGTATATGATACACTGCTCATGCTTGAGTTTATAGCCTGATTGACTAACACTAATAGTGAGAAACCCAACTGTATATGATACACTGCTCATGCTTGAGTTTATAGCCTGATTGACTTGATTCATTTTTTTCAGAGCCCTAAACTCATTAGCCACCCAGTACATGGATCTATAAAAGCTGCTCACTGTGTTTTTTTTTTCCTTGGGTAACATCATCTTTATTTCCTGAGACACTTCTTTTAAACATTAAACTGAAGGTAAGTGCATAAAAATGAAATGGGGACTCATAATTGCAAACTGTTTTCATGTCGGAAGAAGATTCAAATGCCTCTTAGGTCTGCATTGCTCCTTGTTACCGGCTCAGAACCTGGCTATAAAAGTACATCATGTAGCCAAGGTCTGCCTGCAGGGCAACGTGTGGCCGTGAGCAGAAATGCGAGGGAATTGCCTATGGCAGTTAGGTGGAAAAAGAAAAGAAGCCACAGAAAACAGCAACTCCAAACGGACAGAGGCCCCAAACTGGAAGTTGGCAATTGTTGGGAGAGCCCAGGAAGGGACCATTGCAACCTTCTCCACTCCACTCTCTCTCAACTCTTAATCCCTTTCACCTTGAACAGTCACTGCTATTATTTCTGGGAAATAATACACTTCTGCATTTTTTCCCTCACATTTTCAACAAGATTCACTAAGGCTGATTGAAAGGACTTAAAATGTCATCTCGTCAGGGCCCTTGATAAACTTGTCATCTTACGTCTCTGGGGCTGAGGCGCTGGGGAAGACAACCCAAAGTAACAGTGTAGAAAACAGCTGCTTTTACTGCAAAGTCTTCAAAGGCTGTGAGAAAATTACAGAGGGAAAAAAAAGTCAGCTACACGTGTCTCACTTATTCTGCCCCAAAGTTAGATTGACTGAACCCAAGGCTTTGCCTTATCCAATCCAGCAGCCAACAAGCCTTCAAATAATTGCTTACACCCATTCACTTCAAACAGGGGAGACTTCTATAGGAAGCTCCTTGTGCCTCGGTTCCACAATCAAAACCAAAAATAGTTTTTTTTGTTTTGTTTTGTTTTCTGGAAAATGTGCCCTCTCTGAATGTCCATCAGCTTTTCTTAATGTGGGGGGATGAAGTGTGGCGTCTCCATTTTTCTTTGTTCTCTATAAAAGCATTCAATTTTCTAGTGTGAATATGAAAATTAGAACATCGTGTGTGTTGGCACACACCTGTAATCCCAGCGGCTAGGGAGGCTGGGGCTAATGGATTTCAAATTTGAGGCCAGGCTAGGCCACAGAGAGAGACCCCACCTCAATTTTGGGGGACGGTACACAAAGAAAAATGTAAATGCAAAAAATATATATTCAGACTCTAATAATTTTTACCAGGATTGATCTTGTTCTGTGACTGTTTATATTTTTATATAGTGTATTTTACTGACCAAGCTGTGGAAAATATAGTCCTATAGCCTAACAATGGCCCCCAAATTCCAACATTATTGTAGACATTATAAAATTTTTCATATGCACAAGAATATAAATATATAAAAATACATAAAATATAACATATATATTATATACCTCTATATTGGTTTGTTGGTCGGTTGGTGGGTGGGTTGGGGACAGCATTGTGTATGTGTTCTTTAACACATGCTCTTCTTGTATTGCCTCCCAAGTTCTGGGGTTATAAGGCATGCACCACAGTGCTCAGCTAAATTAATTTTTCCTCTACAGGGTCACTTGAATGAACTACTTTCCCTAACCACCATAATTTGTGAACGGTTTGGTGACTTATACCTTGAAATGTCACTCGTCTACCTTGATCTGATTTCACCCACACATAATTACACTACTAAATTCTAAGCGGTAGTTCAAGTCCAAGGGGAAATATAATTCAGCTACAGCTTAAAAACTGGTCCTTGCATTTGAAATGCACACTCTAAGTGTTTTGATCTAGAAATAAAATTAAAATCAGTCTACCTTAAAGGCTTATCTTAAAATTCTCCGATAGGCTTCAGGAGTTGGCCACTCACATGAAAATGTTAGTAAGGGGCTGCCTGTTTCAAATGGCAACTTGGCGACAGAATGGGAAAGTCAATTGAGACTAAGAGAATTGAAAATTATTCAGGTAACAGTAAGCCATGAGCTCTTCTGTCAATGGAAGGGGGTTGCCTGGCTTTTGTTTTTTTTTTTGTTTTTTTTTTTTTTTTTAATGAATATTGCGATGAGAAGGCCAGGGTTTAAAACGTTATTTTGATAATAACATGTAAACTTTCTTCAGCCAAGCACAGTGTTTCACACCTGAAATCTCAACATCTGACAAGCAGAGGCATAAGGATGGCTAGTTCAATGCCACTCTGAACTACATTGTGAGCCCTGTGCAAAGAAAATCAAGGACTGTAAATGCAGTTTAGTGGTAGAACATTTGCTTAGTGTATGCAAGGCCCTGTGTTAGAGCCAAGCAAAACAAACTACCATTTAAAGAGAACCATACAGATTGGAAGGCACAAGCAGTGATGGGAATGCAAAGGTCAGCATGGACTTGAGAGTTATTTTGAAAGAGGAATGAGTGAGAACTTCTAAATTATCAATGGAAGGATGGAACCAGAAAAAGAATAGTTTCAAGTCTCAATAACTGGAAGAATGACCACACAAGGAAAAGAAATCCAGCCATGGATTTCCTGGGGCTAGGTTGAGCTTACCCACTTCAGAGAAATGAAGGGCTTAGTAAAATGGGGTATCAGATTGAAAAGATGTGACTGGTAACCTAGATAAAATATCTGAAAGTCAGTTGCAATCTTGAGAGTGTGATTTGTGGTGACCAAGGGCCCTTAAAGAATTGATACACTGTTGTTTTTCTCTGAATTCTCCAGCAATGAACATACTACTGGCATAGAATTTATACTCAACAAATGCAATCTGGCTGGGGATGGGCTGGCAGTGTAGATTTAGAGGCAAGCTCCACAAAACCAACACCTAAGTTATGAGAGTGGGCAAATGCCACCTTCGAAAGAAGGGAATTGGAAGGAAAGGGAGGAGGGAAGGAGGGACGGGGGAGAAGGAATGGAGGAAGAAAGGGAGAGAGGGAGGGGAAGGAAGGGAAGAAAGAGGAAGAGGAAGAAAGGGAGGAAGGGAAGGAAGGAAGGGAGGAAAGGAGGAAGAGAAGGAAGGAAAGAAGAAAGGAAGGGAGGGAAAGGGAGGGAGGGAGGAAGGAAGAAAGGGGGAGGAAGGAAGAGAGGAAAGGAGGGAGGGGGAGGGAGGGGGGAGACGATCAAGTCTTAAGGAATAAATACATTAGCAGATCTGGAAGTAAAAGGAAATGAATAAATGAGACAAGAATGATAATCCAGAGAAATAAATAGAAAAAAGAAGAGGTAGACAGGGAGGGAGGAGAAGGAAACAGGAAACAAAAAAGGAAAAAAATTATGAGTAAGAATAGAGTGAGGCTCCAGGCAGGAAGAGATGTTACTCATACTTCTAACAATTGTATTATAGACTTAGAAAATACATGGACACAAAAATTATCAAGTCACATTTTGTGAGCAAAAATGGAAACCGTTGAAATGTTTCCTTAATAACTTAAAGTAAATAAATGAATAGCTGCTGTCACATTGATTCATCGATTGCATGTGGGTGCTCAATAAATGTTAATTGAATTAAATTAATAACATTTGTTCAGCGGTAATAAAAAATTAATTAACTGTCTGTCTTGCTGTTGCTTAGTTTATGTCCACTGCTTCTTGCAATTACTTCTACCCCAAACAGGGATTTTTCTATTACAGTGACTTTCAAGACACACTTTAATTTTTTTTTCTAAGAACTATAGAGAAGCTCCTAATTTTTGTCCCAATTTTAGTTTGTATTTTTGAGGTGGAAAAAAATTATTTTCTCTGAGTTAATGTCAGGAACTATGTATAACATCCCAAATATAGTTTCATGGGTTCCTTATTTAATTCTAAAATACCATCCCGTGAGAGGATATGATGCCACTTTTCCCTGTGTTCCTCGTTTTAGCCCATGCTGCTTTTTAATACTTTAGAGACAATGTCAAATAACACTGTAAAGGAAGAAATCTGGGGGAATTATTGTTAGCATTCCAGCTATAAAAAAAATGGAAGCTGTCAGTAACATTCACCCCCCAAAAAAAATGTGACTCACTTCAGATGTCAGAATTCTGGGTTGAACAGACTGGGCTCTGAATCGCGTGCGTGTCAGATGATTTTTTAATGAGCATCAGATAGTTCCCACTGGGGGATTAAAAAAATAAAAATATAAACAGAGATATAGAGTTAAAATAACTTTATGAATGGCAGTTTAAATTCTCCATAAAAATCCTCCCTGTGCAAACCTGGTGTGCTCCAAATGGTTGCTTAATGTAGCAAACCACTTACATTCAAAATGCTATACTTAAAAAATGCTGTACTTAAAAAAGTTGTTGCAAAATTAAAAAGAGAATCATATACCACTTGGCTGTAAACTGTACTCTCTGCATGTTTTTACATTCCAGTAACCTCTATCCAACTCTTTTTTTGTTGTTGTTACCGAATTACTTTGTGCAAAAGCGATTTAAATTACATGCAGTCTGACTGTGCGTGATAATTTGAACTGATTGTTAATGAATTCTGTTAAGCAAAGAGCTGCTGTAATCTCTAGTCATCATGGTTTGCTACCAGCTCCTTCCTGAGCTGCCTTTGAATGGACAACACGCAGTAGCTGTAGCTGAACAGGCAGTTCCTCGAGTGTGCAAGAAATCAGTTCTACTTCACCATGCAGAGAAAGGAGGACTGTCAAACTGAGTATTTGCAAGACTGCCTCTAGGGTGTCAATGCATCTCAAGTTTTAGGGTACAGAGGGCATTGGTGATGTGTACTGTAGCCTCAGTCACTAAAAGACAATTACTTGAGATAGAGGCAAAGAATACATTAGGGACTTATATAATTATTATGAACAACAAAGCTAAGAACAAAGCTTCTTCAGAGCTCCTAGAGCTCTCAACTTTCCTAATGCTGCGACCCTTTAACACAGTTCTTTATGTTGTGGTGACCCCCAACCATAAGATTATTTCCTTGAAGTTATAACTGTAATTTTGCTATTGTTATTAACCATAATGTAAATATCTGATATGTGACCCCCCAGAGGGGTTGCAACCCCACAGGTTGAGAACATCTGCCCTAGATTGAGCTCAGTTGACTACAGAGGAGTCCTTGGGCAACTTAAGGTTCTAAGCCTGAGTGTTCTCATTCATCTACTAATTTCAATTCTAACTCTAATAATTCACCTAGTAATACTAACTGCTACTTTTCTCAACAGCAGTGTCTATCTCCTAAACTCTTTCAGCTAGGCATTTTAACATGATAAGATATATAAACAATAACATAAAGCTTGAAGCATAAAGCAGGCACTGACACACATGTGTTTGTACACAAAGCAGTGGTTTTCAACCTGGGCAATTTTGTTCCAGGAGAGAAATCTTGCAAGGTGAACAGTAATTTTTTTTTATTATCATAGCTCAGGGAGATAAAGTACTACGGGCATCTCCTATGTAGAAGATGAGGAGAACACTCTCTTGTATACCCATTGTCTGGCTCAAAATCTGGACACTGCCAAGAAATCAAAGGCACTATTTGAATATCCATTTCAGTGAGAAATTGATTATTGGATGCCCTCATTCATCCCAGTAAGAAAAATCAACTCTCATTATCACCACGACCATCACCATAATCATTGTGTTATTAACATGGCAAGTACTTCTTGAGTTAGAGGAAGCCTAGAGTTTGCCAATGTGTGCTGCCAATTCTATTTCCACATTCAGTATTCAATACTACATTAATTGCTGTCAACAATAGATGTTTTTCCCGAACCCCTACTTCTGCCAATCTTTTTTAGGGTGGATTAAACCACCACCAAGAGATTTAAAGCCAGCAGCATATGGGAAAGGGAATAAAAATTAAACATTGTCAAAAACCAAGGCTGTTTGGAAAATCGGAAGGAAACAAAAATGGCCCAAGATGACTGTGTGTGGCAGACTGTTTGGTCTGCTTCCAGTTCAAGCCTTCAGAGAGAGACCATCTCATGATGGGTTTTGAGAGGCCCTGATTGACAAGTCTGTGGGTTGTTCTTTCTCTTTCCTCCTCTCCCCAAAGCAGAATTCCTTAGAATTCCCAGGCTTATCTGAATGTTGGAATCACCTGAGAAGTTTCAGTAAAATCCCCAAGGAATGGTGATTGACTTGGTTGGCTGGGAACAATGGTATCTGAGCTTTTGAATAGTTCAGAAACTTTGGGTTTCTCAGCTGGCTGGACTCTGTAGGAGTGTCAGGGACTCACACTCCTCAGAGGTAGGACCAAGCAGACATTGATTTCCCAGAAAAGAAAAGGCAATTCTCAAACAGGCCGTAGCTACGGACTTAGGAAGAGTGGATTTCCTACACGGAACCTGACATGCTTATCAAATCACATGAGCCTCTTTCTAGTCACCCATCTATCACTGCTGAGTCAGCCTAACCCTGGGCTTGCTGTGGTGGTATTTTACTTGTACTGAAATGTGATTTTAATTGTATGTTAATAAATAAAGTTGCCTGGGGGTCAGAGCTATTAGAGTCATAGCAAGTGCATGGTGGCGGTGGCGTATGCCTTTAAGGACCTGGAGGGCGGTACATGCAGGCAGTGACGAGGCAGTCACGTGTTTGGGTTTACAACCAATGAGAAGGCAGAACAGCTTGACTATATGAAGACATACACACAGGAAGTAGGTCCCTTTCGGAGAGCTCTCTTGGCTGAAGAGGATCGCTGAATCAGGAAGGGTGAGGCTCTTAGCTCTGACCTCTTGGCTTTCTTCTCTGAATCGGCTCTGTGTTTCTTATTTAATAAAACGGTTGGTTACATCTACAGCTTGCTGTAGAAAATGTGATTATAGAACACATTTTCCATCTCTCAGTAGTACTACCTGAAGATGTCCCTGGGACCAAGCTGGTGGTTTGTTTAAGAATGTGCTCCCATGCTTCTTCTTTGTCCATCTCAGGACTTTGCTCAGAGTTGTAGGTATGTTATATATTAAGATGTCCTCCTCCAGCACCATCCTCTCTCTGATATAGCAGGGTAGAATTCTACTTCTCTACACACTCCCATTTGCTAAAATGTGGGGTACTTGTAGTGGGCACACTGAATCCCAATGTTCGGTTCAGTGTTGGCTCCATAATAAACTCTTCTATTACATAAAATGAGATCACAGGCCTCTTCAAACCGCGGTCTTGGCCAGGACGTTGCCAGGAGTTCCCTGTACATCCCCTGCTTATCCCAATTAATTTCACACGATAAGATATGTTCCCCAGAAGACAACCCCAAAGCCAGAGATACCTGAATAGATACCTATAAAATGCCAATGCCTGGAGCAAAACATCCCATATATGAAAGGGGTGTGCGTTTTAGAGATTTTTCTGACAGCAGAGAAAGATTTAGCTTGTAGACTGCTCATCTACACATGGCTTGTTTTTCTCCTAAACAGAAGGAAAGTGCGGTTTGTAGAAACAAAAGCAAGAAAAAAAAATGAATAGTGATTTTACTGAGACATCAGAAAGTATCAGAATCACCTGGCTTCTTGTATCCATGATACACTGTGATGCTGATATGACACAGTGACATCTTGTTCATCTATATGAATGAATTCTTTGGTTTTCCCCACTCACCATCCTAAAAACTGGTAGTAGAAAAGTGCATTACAAATTAGTATGAAATTTACAGTGTATATAAAAGTTTGTGATTGTACTTTTCAATTCTATCCCAAAATAATCTTGCTCAGTAGTGTTTTACTCCATTTCATAGGACTTTATTATTTCAAAGTGTACAATGTAAATTTTCCTGCAAATGTTGTTTCTTAGATTACAGTGGGTTTGTGCATGTGTGTTTTCTTTTTTCATCTAGATACGCAACTCACAAATGAAAAGCATGCAGAAGAGAAACCTATTAATGCTATTATTATAAATTCAGTATCCGAATTCAGTATCACAGATGGACCAGCCCAGGAAAGCCCCAATGAGAAGAACCTGTCAGGATCGAGCACTTCACTCTCCTCCCTCGAAGAATGCCAAACGAAATTTCCCTACCTCCAAACTAATACTTCAGTTCATCAGAGAGATGCGGATGGTACGTTTCTCAGAATACAACCCATTTCTAAATAAAGCTCCCAACCCCAGCCCTTGGAAAAATCACTACATATGCTGTTAGAAAGAGAAAAAAAAAGTCTTTATGAATATTAAACAGGATGACTTTGATTTGAAAACCCTGATGAATGACATGTGTCAAGGTCACTTTGTAGCTAGGAGGTGCTTGGCAGAGTGTTTGCTCCCAGAGCTGGGAATCGGAGGCTATGCGTTTTAAATAGCTCAGACCAGAGCAGCATGCTTGGATGGGGCTGGAAAACCAGTAAAATCAAATAAAAATTTCTTTTCTCAGAAATGAGACCATTCTGTCCATGGCTTTAAGCATATGGGGCAAGGGGAGAACAGAGGGAAAAAATAATAAAGTGCTCGAAACAACAGACACACAAAAATGGGGCGATGGCTCAGCTGGTAATGTGCTTGCTGTATAAGAAACCTGAGTTCAATCCCCAGAACCCACATAAAGAAACTTGCAGTGGTGGTATGATCTTAATTCCACCACTGGGGAGGTGGAAGCAGCCAGATCCTTGGGCCTCTCTGGCCAGCCAGCCTAGCCTACTTGGTGAGTTCTAGGTCAGTGAGATACATTGTCTCAAAAGCCAAGCAAAATACCTGAGGGATGACTCTCAAGGTTGACCTCTGACGCTACACACATTATACAACCCCCACCCCAATGACAATTGAAGAAGATCGTATAAAATATCAAGGTATTTCCATCAATCATCTCCAGACAAGGGTTGACTCTTGTAACTAACTCACTAGGTATTCTAATCAAGTGCAGCCATAGACCAGCACACACTGTATACTATGTTCAACAAAGCCCATTTCAGATTGATTGGGTGCTAAACAATCAGCTCAGTCAAGTTTAAGCTCAGGGATCTTCCACCATGATAAATGAAGCTTAGCTCAGAGTAACTTTGCAATTGCCTCTCCAGGAAACATGGGCCACTCAAAAGTTTTGTGGTATTCCAAGTCCATATTTACGGTTGCATTGAAGTAATCCCTGGGCTTCTTGGAGGTGTTGTTTCTCATCTGCACCTCATATTTCACTATTGAAAATAAGAAACATGGTTAAAGCTTGTATAAAACCCCCTCCATCATCACATTAATTTGACTACTGCTCCTGAAGTTCACTAATTGGTTGAAACAGGACAGGTTTGAGGTTTGCCTTTTCTGTTTTAACATCCCAACCTCAGTCTCTTGGTTAGATACCAGGGTTCGCAACAACCCACTGGCTAGTGTGGGGCTCAAGAGGAATCCGTGTACAAAGCCTCTGCTGCCGAAGCTGGCACACAGAAATTCACCTTGAGCTTTTCGTATGACTGCAGTTCTTGAGAGGAAAGAGAGAGACTTCTACCATGTGTTGTAAATGTGCTGTCTTATGCAAAAATTGATATGGATACCTAAAAGCAGAGACCAGAGACTTGGTTAAGATTGCCAGGAAAGAATGTGACTAACAACGCTGGAGGGAACAGTGAGGACTGTGTGAAACTGAAAAACACCGCAGCTAAAAGGTCATTAAAACCTCATTCTGAGAGGACGGCTGCATCTGTCAGTCACAAAGTTGCAAGGCTAGATCTCCAGAACCCATGGGAAGAAGGCAACGTAGTAGTGGGTTTCCAATACCAGCACTAAGGAGGTAGGGGTACCCTGGGCTCACCTTCAGCCAATCAAGGCCACATGGTAAGCTCCAAGTCAAAGCGAGACCTTATCTTAAGGGAGGTGGACAATGTTCCTAGGGATGGCAACTGAGGTATTTTTACAGCCTTCAGAGAAAGAGGGAGAGAGGGGAGAGATAGAGATAATAGATAGACAGACAGACAGATAGATAATAGATAGATGATTGATAGACAGACAGACAGACAGATAGAGTCACTTCTTTCACTCAACTCAAATCAGGAGAAACAATAGGTTTAGAGTTGCTAGATTTTTTTTAAAAATTTGAAACAGGGTCTCACTATGTAGCCCTGGCTGTCCTAGAATTCATATTGTAGACCAGGCTGGCTTTGAACTCACAGAGATCCACTTGCCTCTGCCTCCCAAGTGCTGGGATTAAAGGGGTGCATCACTCTGCTCAGCTGAGTTGCCAAATCTTGAAGTGATCTAAAAATATGTAGAGAATAAGAAACTTCTATTTTAATATGCATAATGACTTCTGTTTACTTTCTGGCACACTAGGCATCTCTACATATCTTTGGGTCAACTTTATCTGTCGACTAGGGCTTCCACTAGAGTTTAACTTTGGTCAAGATGAAGGGAAGGCATGAAAACAAGCAGGGGCCGCGGTTATCTGAAAAGCATATATCTAACAACATAGTGTTTTACTCGGGAGGTGGGGATATTGCTCCGTGTGTACACTAGGGTAATGATCCCAGAATTAGAAACTGTCACTATACACATTCAGAGACGTAACATCCTACAAGAGCATGTCCTTCTGTCCAGTTGGGAACCCAGAGAGAAGCATGAGATCAGCTGTCTCCTGTTCTCAGGGAAAGGGGAAAATGACCACTCTGTTTAAATGTCAAGTGATACTTCAGAGCCTTGTGGCAGAAAAATAAGATTTCTCCTGTTCAAATGAGCAAAGCGGGATCAGAAGGATGTGTGGGTGAAACTGTTTATTATAAGAGGTGACTGAGACCAATAGGACCCAGAAAACTCAGGTTATAAGCTGAGGATGTAGGTCATAAGCCACCCTTCCTTGCTCCCTTTGTGGAAAAAAAAAATCTCCCTAGTGAAGTTAGAGCTTTTGGTAGCTAGATAAAAGAGGAAGTAAAAGACTCATACTAAGACTCACAAATCATAATTTAAAAAAAAAAACACTCATTATCTGAAACAGCAAGGAAACAGTTAGGCCAGCCACTCCTCACTTTAGGGAATTTTTTATAGTAATTTAAGGGTGCCGAAATTGAGAAGTGGGGTCACTGTTCAAACTGAGATGAATACAGAAATGTCTGTTAGGAACACAGGGAAAACAAGAAGGGAGCAGAGAAGATTGTGTCCACTTTGTGCAGTTTGTGGTTAATTTATTTTGAAAAGTATAAATGAGTGCGCAGGAATGGATGCTTAATTACTAATATCTAGATACATCACCTCCACTTAAAACAGGGTGGAAAAAGCTCACATAGGCAGATTTTGTAAAAATGTGTTGCATCCATTAGCAGAGTTCACAGGGTATGCTCTGATGGGAATTTAAAAGGATCTTTACTGAACCTCATAGTCTCAACTCCAGCAGTTTCTCAGTAGCTATGGTTCATCATGTGTGGTCTCTTTTCAGAAGGAAATGGAAAACACACCAGGGTACCCTGCACACACCTGCCCCCACGTCCATAATCTTCGACTTGCAAAAGCATCATGTGGAAAAGGAAGCCAGGGCCACACATCACCTTCGATAGCAGACTCCTTGGAAAGTAATCGTGGAAATATGCCTAATTGATGTATAATTTTGAATTTCAGACATCTCATCCAGGTGGAAGAAGCAAATCATAAATACAGGATACCTGCAAAGAATAGTCTTAATTACACCATGGGCTACTGAATAAAATGATTACATTTTCTACACTGTAAATTTCACACAATTAAATGTAGTGGTGTCACCTTATAAAGTGTTTCAATTTTATAATTATTTCAGTTCATTTGCTCAGAAAAAAACATAAGCACAAATTTACCAAGTATCACCCAAATCTAGTCATTCTACTTCTAAAGGAGTGACGTGGATGTTAGTTGTGCTTGTCTGAGCTTAAATAGATCTTGACATATTTAAGGAGCTGTTAAAATTGATAACATCAGGAATGATAGCCCCGCCAGAGAAAGGTATTCAGTCACACTTTATTTATTCACATTCTACGTTACAGACATGTATTTATAAAGAACTTAATGCTGGGGGAGGGTAATCAGTTTTTAATGCTTCTGGACCCAGAACCTTCAGGACTCAATTGATGCTATTATGCTGCAAGTCTGTCCGTGGCAGCACCCAGCTGTTCTGAGGTGCTGGGCTGGGGCCAGGCTCTTTTGGTCTATTTCTCATCCTTCTTTGTTCTAGGAGAGTAATGGGTGAGGCTGTTGTTTCTCTGGGTTGCTTCTATAAGAACTACACTTGCGACACTTTGCTTGATAACTGACAAGGAAGCAAGAGGCTGAAGTGAACATGTCCCAGGAGCCATTATTGGCAACAAGAGATGCCCCTGGTCTCCATTCTTCTCATGTGGGGAAATCATAGCATGAAACAGAAAGCTGAGAGGGCAATGTCAAGGAATGGTGATGAGGCTGACCCCAGGTACACACGTGGAACTTCTTGGCTGTTATCATTCCCACTATAATTAAACATGAGCCTTTCTAATGAGACACATTCTCCCTCTTAATTAGCCAATCCCCAGCAGAATGTTTAGCACCTCGAAGCTGCCTTAATTCTTCTGTGTTATTAGAGTATCATCACTTAGCACATTCCAGCTTGAAAGTACCCTAGGGGTATAGAAAGGACTTGAGACAACCCTCAGAGGGATTTGCCAAGGCTTATTGCTCACACCTAAATACAGCTGTGGCAGCTTGGCCTGCAGGTCTTGGATCATCTCCTACTGCCTTTATTCCAGGTTTAGGAGGCAGGATGGGCATTCTGACAGCAGTGATTAGAGGCAATGCCAGGGTACCAGGTGGTTCAATAGAGAGGATTTCCTGTGCAAGGAACTTGTTGCAAAGAGAGTTGAAAAGGCCAGTGCAGCAAACAGTGAGGTCACCCAGAAATCCACACCATGAGAAGACTCTATCTGCTCCAGATCCTCCAGACTGGGACTACTGCACTGAACTTATAGACCCCTAGCGACTAACCAGTACTAGACAGTAGCTGCTTTTTATTCAGAGCCATGAGGAGGAGGGCTGAAGACAGTAGGGGAGGGAGAGAGAGAGAGAGAGAGAGAGAAAGAGAGAGAGAGAGAGAGAGAGAGAGAGAGAGAGAGACAGAGAGACAGAGAGAGAGACAGAGAGAGAGACAGAGACAGAGAGAGAGACAGAGAGAGAGAGAGAGAGAGAGAGAGACAGAGACAGAGAGAGAGAGAGAGAGAGAGAGAGAGAGAGAGAGAGAGAGAGAGAGAGAGAGAGAAGCCAAGCTCTGAGACAATGTGCAACATGCAGAGCTGGGGTAAGGCAGAAGAAAGACCCTGGCTTTCCTTCCTTCTCCCCCAGCCTCCTAGGTTCCTGTGGATGCTTCCCATTGGCTGAAACTAGCCAGTAGTCATGGAACTAACTTGGCTACCTCCATTGCCAGCCTTGGGAATCAGAGAAGGACTGGGTCCTCCAAATGCTCACACCTAGCAGAAAGTAAGCAGAGCCATGGGAGAGCACAGCCAGCTCTAGTTCAAAGCTCTGGAAAATTCTGAGTTCACATAAGAACCAACCCACTTGCTGGGGTTCCTGGATCATGGCACTTTATATTCTCTGAGCCTGGGGCCACATCTATAAACAGAGGTGATAGGAGCATTCAATCCAGGGTCTTCTTGAGGGTTAAGATTCAGGTAACACACAGAGCACTGTGAACTGGCTTTAGGTGAGATGTAGACACATGGAACAGGGGGATTCAAAGTACAGACTTCAGATCTAGAAAGAATCAGCCTTCAGCAGGACATGGGGCCTTCAGTGATATTCTATCAATTTTGGTCTTTTTCACTTAGACTCATTCACTAATTAGTCCAGTTTGAGATGGCAGGCTAGGTTCACCCTGTGGGCAGCACTGTGAAGGAAACTGTGAGTGTGGTGCTGTGCATGTTTGAGCAAGAGTGTCATTTGGAGGGAAGATGTTTCAAGCAAAGAATCTAAGGGTTTGAGCATGACTTGGGTGAAGCTACCTCCAGGAGTGTGACACAAGAAGAGAGCATACCATAGGCAAAGGTTGTTAGGCAGGTCCATTTTGAATACTGGGATTCAGTCAGTGAGGTGATAGTACAGTGAGTGAGTAAGGAGGGAGACACATCCAGAAGGGAGAGAGGGTGGCAGGAGGCTTGTAGGAGCTTCTTGCCAAGGCAAGGGTTAGGACTTGAAGTGGGAGTAAGTTCTTTTCATTCAGGAATTGAAGTGTCACAAGGGTTCACAGATTCGAAATAAGCACATGTGCCTGTGTCCCCGAAGGCAGCTGATGAAGGTACAACCAGGGCAGGAAGTCTGCAGGTGGCTGAGGAAGCTTGCGGGGAAATCAAGCCTGACCGGGAACTCCATCGAGAGAGTAGAAGTACAATGACCAACGATGATGCCAGGTTTCCAGTGACTTCGTCAGGGTGCTACCACCCACAAGGGCAAACTGGGAAGGGCCAGGTGTGTGGCATGGAGAAGAGAAAGGTACAATATTAGGACCTGGCCTCAGGAAGCAGTGTGTTTGGGAGACCCTGCATAAGAGCTGACCGTTGGCAGCTGGATACATGATGCACTCTTTCAGACTGGCCAAAAGAATGGACACTAATCATGAGCTATGCCTCTAGATACCATGTTTATTAAATACTACAGCCCAGGAAGCTACAAGGAAAGAAAAATATACTCAATCTGGAGAACGGGAAGTCCTGGGCTCCTCAAACAGTTGTAAAATTTCTTCTGAACTGCTTATATTACTTTTGTGCAAACAAAATGGCCATATGCAAAAGAGTTCAGCCTGCTGGTGTAGTATTCTTTAATATGCCTTTTAGGAAAGCACGGTGCACACTTGAAAGTTCAGAAAAATCTGTTTGCAATTCATTAATGTTACCGTGGTTTTCTTGAGCAAGAGGCTCTGCCTTTTATAACCAAATAAATGGGACTGACTTAAAAACAGGGGTGTGATGGGGGGCGGTTCTATTCTCAAGTGTAAAATAGAAGATGGAAGGAAACAAAAGGCAATTCAGCCAAAGGACTAAGCCCCAACTCTTTGGGTAAATAAAATCTATGGCATCCACCAGAAACAGAGGCCTCCAGAGTGCCAGCTGGAGGTGACACTGGCAAATGCAGCTGAATCAAAAGGTCATATGACCTCCTGAAATTACAAAGCCATTTTGCAGGCAGGCTTTTCATACTCTGGTAAGAATCTCCGACTTTAAACATTATAGTCACCTTGTACCCTGCTCTACTCATATCCAACCCAAATGTTCAGCTTCACATATAAAAGGCAGGACTCAATGGGGTCATTTTTTGTAGGGTCACAACCTTAAGTAAGACTTTTGAGGCCCCAGTCTGAAGAATAGTGTCTAGAGTTTTACTTGGAGTATTTTCTACTGAGAATAACTTCTCTGCCAGGAGCTGATAAAGTTAGAGTTGGCATGGGTGAAATCGAATGAGGTTGTGTGCTACACATCCTGGATCACTAACACATACTCTTCAGAAAGGGTGAGGCAGAATAGAGTCCCTGAACTATTAAGAACTTACTCCTGAATTTTTGTGGGTGGTTTGTGGTGACTTATGAGAGATGAGTGAGTTGGCCATATGCTAGAAGCTGGTGTTAAGTGAATAAAAATACAGCCAGCCTGGCAGAGAGATGAGTGTGCATGCTGCAGAGGTATTAGGGAGCGGGCTGCCTGAACTATAAATGCTGAGGCATGGCTGTTAAAGTCATCGTAAAAGTCGTGGGGTGTGTGTGTGTGTGTGTGTGTGTGTGTGTGTGTGTGTGTGTGTGTTAAACACCACCTTTCTGAGAAGAGAGAAAGGCGGAGGTGGGAAGATCAGGAGAGCAGAAGATTGCTGTGCACCTACATTCAGCTTTCACTTTAGAACTTAGAACAGCGCAAACCCACATTCTTTAAAATATTTGCTCCTCTTTTTAAGAGGCCGTTTCTAAGTTTTCCCTTCCTTCAGAGAGTACGCAGTTTTTGCACAATTAAGAGCAAACCCGTGCTTGGGAGATGGATCCATCTGTAAAGGTCTTGCCAAACAAGCATGAGGACCTGAGTTTGGATTCCCAGCACCCACATCAAAAGAAAACACCAGGCTGGGGAGCATGTGACTGTATGCAAGACTGGCCTTGGACTTCTGGTCCTTTTGCCTCAGCTTGTCTAGTGCTAAGGGAAGTCTGTTCTGCATGACAGTGCATATGTCACAGGCTATAGTCAGAAAACCACAAAATCATTAACATGCTTATTGAAACAATGGATTCTTATGGAACCCAAACTTTATAGACTGGTAAATCCATCTGGAGGAGAAATTTCTCCCAACTCATGCTGGAATGTGACATTCAACCATCAACAATCTTCAGATTACTTATTAATTGGATTATATGAATTATTACCTACATTTTTACCAAAAAATAAAACCACTCACATTTTTTGAGACTTCTAAAACACACACAAAAAAAGATATAATTTTAACAAGAGAACTGCCACATCATTCTAACTAACTCCCTTTATGGAGCAAAAATGTATAATAATCTATAACCCATTGCAGCTGTTTGGCTAGAATTACCAATTACCTTCAATACCTAAGAGATGCTTTCCAGATTTTTTAACAAGTCCTTACAGTAAATTTTTAAACCAATTTTCTTAAAGGCAACTGATAAGATTTAAAACTTCTTAGGCAAGAGATGACGAGGTTCTCTACTTAAACAACTTGAATATGAAATCAAGGCTTTCCACGACTACAGGAAGATGGAGACAGGAATTAAAATAAAACACAACCCAAAAAGCTGTGATTATTTTAAACAGTATTTCAATAAAGTTTGGAACCGTGCTTTTCCCTTATGTTTGAACATGGGTTTGGTGGATTTATGGTGGTATCTTGAAGCCTAGTGACAAGCAGTCAAACATCTGTGGTCTCTTCTTGTCCCCAGCTCTAATGGCTTCTGAGCCAGTGCATTTGAGAAAGGACTGTTGTCATTCTGAGAGTTGCAAAGACAAGTAGCTCACCCAGTGCCTTCCCAGCACCTCACAGGCAAACTAAATCAAGAGGTCCGAGACGAAGTGACAGCACACTTTAAGTAACGCGATTAGGCAGAATCAATGGGGAATGCCCAGGAAGTTAACAATGTGATTACTTAAACAGTGAGTAGCAGAAGGAGGGAGAAGCTGGGCAGACAAGCTGCACACCCCACCCAGCATGGCTGGAGACGCAGCTCATAGGGTGAGGTGCTTGCTGTACAAGCGTAAGGACCTGATTCAGATTCCCGGGCCTGAACAAAAAAGTCAGGCATGGGGTCACACCTGGAGCCCTGAGTCCTGGCAAAGGTCAGAGACATGTGCATCCCAGGGGCTCACTAGACCACCAAAATAGCATTCTCCAGCTTCAGTGAGAGATGCCAGCTCAGAAAATAAGGTGGAGAAACAATTGATGAAGACATCCCAGTGTCAACCTCTGGCTTCTACAGCAGCCTGCTCAGGCGAGCACACACACACACACAAATAACACGATGACTTTACAGTTACAAAGTACACATCTCCGGATCTGTCTATATTTGAGCAACACTCCTATATGTGTTAACACTAATTTTCTCCCATCTTTATTATAATTTGTCCCATGTCACTGTAAATGTATGGTGTGCATGTATGTGCATGTTCATATATGCTGGTACTGGGATGGAACTCATAGCCTCATGCTTATGCAGTAGCCACTTTACCAACTGGGCTCTCCCTCCAGCTTGCCCATCATGCACCTTATTATTTTAACTGTTCATGTATGTGGTGCAATCTGAACAACCCATGGGTATGTGTAACATGCAGCTGGAATGATCAGGTGAGGGCAGTTAGCCATGCTGTCACCGCAAACACTATTTACATTTTTTGAATGATTCACAGGTACTGATCTTCTCTTTCTTTAAACAGAGGAGTGTGCCTCCCTGATCCTCACCTGTCTCTTTTGCCAATTCTTGGACTGCCTCCTCATGCTCCCTGACACATGTGAAACGGTATGCATCAACCTGTGCTGCCCCTCTCACAGGTACTACTCCGCCTCAGATGAGAATCATCCACGCAATGATTGCAACTTGACCTGTGACATGGACTGCAGCCTCTTTGAATCCTGCCACGAGACCAGCGAGTGCCTGGAGCTGGCCATGGAGATATCAGAAATCTGTTACCGCTAGTGCAAGGCAAGAGAAGCACGTGGGCGGTCGGTCCTGTTGGCCACAGTGGGGAATTCTATTACATTGCATCTGAGATAAGAGCTCCATGTGCCCAAATGCAAGGACCATACATGTTTCTTGGATGCTCTAGGCCATTTTATGCTGCACCTGCCTGGGAAAGCTACTACTGTCAACTCAGTGGTCTTGTTCCAAATTTCACAACCGCATGGCTCACTGCAAAATATGATTCTTGATCACACACATGATGAACAAATTGCAAATATCTCTTAAATGCCATAGGTACAAGATGTTTCTTGACTGTTAAATAGCATGCTAAACCACACTGCGCTCTTGACTCGGCAGCCTGCATTGTGGCTCCAACTTCATTCATGAATTCAGAACAAATTGTGCTTTCTTGTAGGCTCAACACACATTAGTTATCTTTCTGATGGACTCATGCATAAACATTATGCATTATTGGTTATTATTAATAATGTATTGTGTAACATCATTTTGTAATTAAAAATTTATTTATGCAGTCTCTTAAAATTCACTTATATGTACAGTTTAGGTAGGAAAGGGAATTAAATGAATCAGAAACCATGTTCCTATAATTAAAGCAGATGTCTTTGAAACCTCTCCAATGAATCTTGAATCTGGTAGACTTCAGGAGAGCCCTATAATTCTAGACAATATCATTATATGTCTGTGACTGTATCTTAAGAGGTCATGCATATTCTTAATTGGTTACATAAAGATGCTTCTTTATTACAATAAGCAAAAATGGGAGCCATGTGCATGTTTCGGGAATATGATCTATGATAATCATATCTTCACTTTCCTCGCTTCTGTTTGTCAGGCATAATAAGCAACAGGATATTAAAAAGAAATCAGTCCATTTTACTAAACTATCCCATATACAGGCACCTAAAATAAATACACCTGCAGAAACTTGCTCAGCTCCCACTGCCCGAAGCAGCGTGCATGCTCTGGAAACCACAATTCTAAAACCAAAATTGTATTTATTTTTCTGCTAATAAAGTAACTGATGATTGCATTGAAACCTCTTTACCCTTACATTGCTCCAAAAGGCATGCTGTGGGCTATGAAGTTACTTTCAAACGAAATAAATCAAAACCCACACCTGGCAGGAAAGGCACATCTGGGCTGAAGTAACTTGGGAGTCTCCACACTCTGTAGGTGTGGACCAGTGAGGGAAACACTTTGTTCATAGGCATGCATGTATGTATCCCCATGGATGGGACGCAGTGGGTTTCATATGAACTGACAAAACACGACATAGCAGCAAACAAACAGAGCAGACAACTGAAAGTGGGGGTTGAGAAATACTGATGTGGGTGGAAGGAACAAGCGCCATGACAGCCCCCCAAATAATTGTTTGATTTTGACATTGTTTTCCTCTCCTGCTTTGGGTAATTTTAGACAGAAGCAATGTCTGTTTATATAGTAAACCGGCCTTATTTTTTCTACTCTATAGGAATTTTCAAAGATGGGACAGAATTAATCTTTAAAAACTGCTGCTGAGCTGCCTTGAGATTGTATTCAACCCCTCTTAGCTTGCTCCTGAAAGCAGGGTATATTTATGGTTAACGCTGCTTTCTTCTTGTGTGGCTGTTACGTTATTCATGGACTACAAAGAATAAGACTATGCCACCCCTAGTCCCCAACATTTCTTTTTCTCTACCTTTCAGAAGCTCCAAGTTACAACTCTCAACTCTGTGTATATAATTCACAGATCATTAAAAATAATGTGGAAGGGCATGGTGGTACCCACCTGAATTTCAGCACTTGGACAATCAAATCAGGGGTATCAGCAATTCAATATCTCATCAGATACGTAGCAAGTGGGAGACCAACCTGGTCTACACAAGGAGTGTCATTAAAATTATGAAAACACAAAGCAAGCCCCACGAATGAGTGGATCCAAGATAACATGGTGAATTCATGATCAGGATCCTAACACAGGGTCTAACTCTGCTTCCTTACCTGACAGTTCTTCATTCATTAACATCACAAACATTAAAACGCTACCCTCCTGATGACAAATAATGACGACCTTGAACCCCTTATGCTTCCAACACCCACCACTCTGTCTCTTCTCCAAGCACCCAGCTCTCAACTCATATCCTAGTCACCAAAGAAGGACCCACAGAGGTCTTTGGAACCCCATCCCAACAGTACTTTATGTACCTGGTCTCATTGCTCAGTCTGTTATATTCATTCATGTTCAATGTTTTGCCATCAGCCCCTTTCTTTCTCAACCACATACCGTCAATTTATGTAAAGATTGTGCACTTCAAATGTGAATTCAATGCTTGTTGTTTCGAGACATACAAGTCAGCAGCTCTCATTGGACAGCCTTGTCAGAACCCTCTAAAACCTTCCCATGGTCTTGCTTTCCACAGTTGGCTAACTTGTTTCTCATTCTGAGAATTCACCATGCTCTACAAAAAAGGGTCAGTTAGACAAAGTGTGAAATTTCTTTTCCTTACAGCCAATAATAAAATATCATCCTTTTTTTGCAAACTTGAATGGTGATTTCAATTGAATTCCTACACAATAAAACATGGGCAGCTGGGAAAACACAATTGCAGCAGTAAGCCAGATCAAAGCCAAACACCGTTATTGATTAAACACAAACATCAGGATCTGAGAAGGCACGGGTATTCTACACCAGTAACGAAGGCCTGTGATTACAAATTGAGATAATGCTGTACTTCAAGGTAGGCCTTCTTAGGGAATGCAGCATTCTACATTAAGGAAGCACACTAGAATCAAAGAGATTATTGAACGTACAGACAGTCCTTTTTGGAGAATGGAGAAAAGAGATACCCCCACCCAGGCCTGTAACCATATAGTTATATTGTCTTTGCTTTGCTCCATGGATTTTTATAAAACCATTACTCTGCTAAAAAGCCACCAAAATATGGAAAGCAATGAAGAAATGAAGTTACATTTCACTTGCTAATGAAATCGCCCCACTACATGAGCTGAGAGGCCTACAAAATTAATTGCAATACTGGACAATCAAAGTTAATAGAGTGAAAAGCACTTCAGGATTTTTTCCAAGATGATCAAAAAAACATATCCAGGCAGGGAAACTTTACCAATAGGAAGCCTCAAGGAGATCATTCAGAATTGCTTTCAAGGATAAACACATAGGTAGAAGGTGTTTGAAGAAGAAATTTCATCACTCAGAACAGGTAATGTCTCCCTCTACAGAGGGAAAAGGGAGAAAAATGTGTCTTGTGATAGCTTTTCTCACTATGATACATATGTAAGGAAATCGATTTATCAGCAAAAGAAATGTATATTATGACTTGTAGTTCTGCAGCTGTTGGTCAACAGTTGGGTAGTTGTATTGCTATGGGGTTCAGTATCCTTTACAGCTGCACATACATGTTCAGAGCATGGCCTGGAGGCAGACTCAGGGAAGGACTGGGTCCCACAATGTCTTTCAAGAGCATGTTTCCAATGACCAGGAAGAGTTTCACTAGATACCACTTCTCAAAGACAGCCACAATAGGGACCAAGCGTTTCACACTCGGGCCTCTGGGAAAGCACTCAAGACCCCAGGGACAGCACTTAATTAAGGGAATCATCAGCATCGCCACTCAACTATGAAGTTTCTTCAGACTGTGTGGATTGGTAGCTTCCAAAGAAATGTGCACACTTGGCTTAAGGATTTGTTGGGTACTTTGTGAAGAACAAATATGAGCAACGGCCTGGCATTTGCCACTTACGCCTTCAGATGGACAATACAAAAGTTCTAGGAATTAGAAACTACATAAAATTAACTCTGTACTAGTTATTGTCCAGAGAGAAGCCCAAATAGCTCCTTCCATTATAAAGAAGGAGCAGAGGATGTGGAGACCAGTGAGGAACAGGAGACAGCCTGTGTTATTAAAATGAAAGCGCCACCTTTGATCTACCATCCCAATATGCTGCCTGCTTTCACTTTTGGTATTATCTGAATCAGGGTTACCAACTGAGAGGGTGATTTGCCCTCCTTTTCCCATGTGGCAATACTTGGAAGCATAATTTACTATCAAATAATAGAGAGGAAGGTTCTGAGTCTGGGTACCTAAGAGATAGAAGCCAGGCACACTGTTGAAGGTCCAACGGCAACCCATTATGTGGTACTGTGGAATGTTTCCCCTGGGCTCAGGTATTTAAATACTTTGCCCCAGTGAGTGACATTTTTTGGGGGGTGGGGGTTGTGAAACCATTAGGAAGGGAGGTGTGGGAGGGTTGGCTTTTGAAGGTTCTAGCCTAAGCCTAGTTATCTGCATCTGGGCAGCTGCTATAAAATAGGGAGCTGCAACATATCCCCATTACAACCCTTCTCCACTATGACAGACTGAAATACCATAAGCCAAAATAAGTATTTCTCCATTTATTTGTTTTAGGCATATATTTGATATGGCAACTAGAAAATTAACCCCTTCTAAAAAAGGAATTAGCCCCCTCTAAACAAAGAAATATCTAAACATCAGTTGTCTAGTTTAAGAAACCTTGCTCAGGAGGCTTTTTTTTTTTTTTTTTTTTTGGCCATCTTAATTAATAATCTTTACCCAAAACACTGTTAAAATCAGAATTGCCAGATAAAACACGGGATACCTTGCTAACTTTGAATTTCAGAACAAAAGCAAATATCTTCATATGAACATGTCCAAACTACCGTATGTAACCTATTTATACTACAAATGAGATTATTAAATCTGGAACAATAGTTCAAAAGCCTTTCACTCTAGGGAGAGACCTGTTCCCAGCTCTTTTTCCAGAAGAACAAGAACTGGTCATCTCTTTGGTTCCATCCCAGGTCATTCACTGAGTCATATCTTCTACTCTGTGTAATTAAGAATGATCATGGGACTCTGGTTTAAAGAAGTTCTGTGTTTTATTTCCTGCCCCCAAAGGGCCACTATCCTAGATGGAAGTCACCAAGCTATAGTTTCTGTTCTTCATCTCTATCATTAACTTAGAAGGACCTCAGCCTAGGGCTTTCTTTATTCAAGGAGTGAGGAGCTAGTATAGATTGGATATTAAGTGTCCTTTAAAAGGCCTTATGTTAGAGTCATGCTCCTCAGCATGATACTCTTGAAGGTAGTAGAGTCTAAGAGGCAGCACATAGTAGGAGGTCTTTGAGTCATTAGGGAAATGTCCTCAGAAGGGGAAAGGGGAAGGGTGTTCAGGAGACAGCTTAGTCAGTAAAGTGTTTGCTTGTAAGAAGGATGACCTGATTTGATCTCACGAACACGTTTTTGTTTTTGTTTGTTTGTCTTTTTAAAGCAAGTCGGTTGTGGCAGGCACATACTTGTTAGCCCAGTGCTATGGAGGTGGAGACAGATAGATCCCTTGATCTTCCTGGCCAGGCAGCCTGGCCTATTCAGTGAAATTCAATCACTGAGAGACCTAACCTCACAGACGAATGACTATAACTGAATAATAAAACATCAGGTTGTGTTCTTGACTCTACATATGTGCCAACATGTGCATGAATACTCATGTATATGTGCATACACACACACACACACACACACACACACACACACACACACACACACACACACACAGTAGCTGGACTCTAGTCTGTTTCCCTTCCTAAAGTGAGAAGGTTTGCTCTGTCACAGGCTACACCTAAAAATGTCCTATCTCTGTCCACGGTTTCTAATGAAGTAGGCTTGATCAATCACGAGCTGGGGTCTTCAAGACTGTGAACCAATGTAAACCCATCCTTTTCAGAAGCTGAGTATTTCAGGTATATAGTGATGTAAAGCTGACGAATGGAAAAACTGGAGTTCTCAGGTCTCAAGGTCTAACACTAGCTGTTTGTGTCAGTGTTGAACCAGAAAACCCCATTTTGAGAATGACTTGTATGGCTATGGGGGAATATTCTCCCCTATCTAGCTACTTTCTTTCCGTATATCTCTGTGAAGAGGACTGGGTGGGAAGGTGAGATGGAGACACTTCCTTGTCATGGGTTCATTTCCAACAGTGAACACCTAAGCTTCAAAGTGTATTTCTTGTATAACAGTGGGTTTTCTTTGTTCCCTACTTCATTATTTTATTAGGATTCATATTGGGGCTGAAAATGCTGCAGTATTGAAAATACTGAAGTATTTTCTCAACCCTATCAAATTCTTTGACCAGCTCCTGTGAAAAACTTTCTAATCTGAAAAATCTTCAATGCTTTTAAGGAGACTCAACAGAAATTCAGCAACTTCCCATAAAGCAATTGTCACAGTTTCAACACAAACCTATTCTTTCCAAAGTCCATGATTGTAATTACTCACCCTACAATTTCTACATGATTAAAAAAAAAAAGAAGATGAAATTGAGTCAAAGCTCACATGTTTGCTTTGTAAGCAATCAGATAATTATAATTACTCTATTCAAAGGAAAAAAAACCACTCCTTGACAATAAATGTCTTAAAAGTTGTTATGTTATGCAAAGATTAAAGCTTGGAGCGTCTTCAAAATGCTTTTCTGATATGTACCCAATAAGTAATAAATGCAAAGTCAATGTATTCCAATTTAATACTCATGCCATAGCTTTGCCTCATTCCTCTAGGGTTATAAAGACGTACCTTTTAGTGTTCCATTTTCGCGAAACAACTTTGAACTCTGCTTCAGGAGACTCCATTGTGCACACTGCATCCAGGCCAACCCTCATCAGCATTCCACTGGAGGGTTCTAGGATCATGAATGGATTTTAATCAGTCAACAACACTATGGTCAACCAAATGCTTTCTGATGCTTAGACCTTTTATCTCCAAAGCTGTGCAGAATCCAAGGTCATGGCAACCTCTTTTATGGCTTATTGTTCCTCAAATGTACTTAGAGTGAATTTACAAAGCCACAACTTATTTTGTGGATACAAAGCTTTCATTAGGTTCAGCCCTCCCTATATCCCCCTTGTTTCTTCTTTCAGCACTTTCTGCCAGTGGATCCTCACTTAATAGCAAGTTCCCGTAAATTTTTTTAAAAAAATAAAATAAGGATATTGAACAAGATTCAGTAGCTAAGCTACTCATCGTTTGTCGCTGAGGCTCTTTAGAAATGCACTTTAATGTTTCAAAAGACTGCATAGCTTTGCAATGTAAGGCAACAGTTCCTGCAACTGTTAAGAGGGTGAGAAGCCTGGACAATGCCAGGGTTACCTTGATGGTTTTGTCATGGTCCTATGGTTTCTCATGTAGGCGTGAGAACCACCCCTGACTCATAAGGTGAGTTTGTGGAACTGCCCACTGGAAGAGGAAATGGAAATTGGATTCCAATGTTCTAAAAGCCCTCAACAGATCCACATACCCTGCAAAGTTATCACTTAACTCATTTCTTTGATAACTTTCGTTTAAACAACAATACATATCCATCTATTATTGCTTTGAGAATTCTAGTTCAATCCCCAAGTTGCACACAAAAGAGAAAAACAAACAAACAAAAGAAGACATGGTAGAGAATTCTTGAAATCTCAGAACTGGGGAGGCGCAGAAAGGTGGCTCCCTGGGGTCCACCGGCCTGGCAGCCTAGGTGAATTGGAGAGTTCCAGATCAGTGAGCGAGCCTGTCAATAAAAAAAGGTGGACAGCATCTTAGGAAAGACATCCGAGGTGGGCCTCTGGCCTCCACAAGCACCCACACATAGGAATGCAAATGCACAAACATGCATGCGCATACACTACTACAAATTTATGCACACACATGCATGTGCACTCACACATACACAGAGCAAGAGAGACAGACAGACAGACAGAGACAGAGACAGAGAGAGCAAGAGCAAGGCCAATTACGTGATCCTTTAAAGAAACCTACTGCCCAGTTCTAGGTAACATGTTGTAGATGGCGGTCAGATGCTACATTTACAGTTTATTGGGGAGCCAATGGCAGACCACTAATGAATGGCAGGGAGAGAGTAAAATATGAGAGAAGGAAGACTGGCTACGCAGAGGTGTGCAGGACACATCAAAACAAGGGGGACTGGAGACAGAGAAAGGAGCCATTACGGTAAGGCACTGGGTGCCGAAAGCCTGAAGTAGGAAGCTGACAGGGCAAACAGGAGGGAAGAGATGGATGGGAAAGAAATAAGAAAAGGACCATTAGTCCTTTCTCAAAGTTCTCATTTTAAGACTCAAATATTCCCTACTGTCTATCACATATATGAGTCATGAAGGCATTATTTTCATTAGGGGAGAAACGGATTGGGGAGGGTGGGGGGCTCTATTCCAAGTGGAAAGCCAAGGTATATTTTTAGCTACATTAAGCCAGCCTTCTGCTGCTCTGAGCACTGATGTAATTCCAACATAAAACATAATCTATAATATTCCAGGGGAACAAATCCAATTCTTGGTCATATAAATTTTCATATAAGTCCATCACAATTCATTCCCAAAACATCTCATTCTCTTTGAAAGCTGGAGCTGCAGCTAGTGATCAAAAAGAGGATTTTAAAATTACTCTGGAATTTCCAGAGATGCTAAATCTAACCTGCCTACGGTGCAGGACCAATCCCCCAAACTTTAAATCAGAGGTAAAGCATTTTATGTTTTAAAAGATATATTCCTCAAAGTTTATCATGGTATATTAAAGTCAAATGTGAGTTATTACTTACCAAATCCAGAGCTGATGTCTCCCCTTGATTACCCTAGGTAGGCAAGGGTAAGTATCTTCCAACCAACATATTTTTTTTTTTACCTTTTCATCTGCCTCTTGCTATTTACAATAGAGTGAAAAATAATGGCCAAGGAGTGACTTTGCTGGGGTGGACGAAGTGCAAATCCCATCTGACTGTGCTCTTAAATTGTATTCCAGGCTCCAGCAAGTTCTGTTGCCTGAAGAAGAAAGGGGAAATGGCTTCTCCAAAGCTAGACAGATCCCAGAGGGATAATCAGCAGCTGTTCAGCTAACAAACCCGAGCATTTACCCCAGCCTAGAATCCTGTGTGTATATTATTGTTCGGGTCTAACAGTTTCATCTTTCCACCCTTGCTGAGTCTTTTCACGTGGCAGACAACTACCTCACGGTCAGGATGCCTGTGAAACTGTAAAGGCAAAGAGAACATCTGTAAAAAGTACTCTGATGCAGAAACAACCATGTTGACTCTTCTGGTTTTATCCAATGTAAACACAGTCATTCTTAGGAATGCCGTTCCTCCTAAGACCTGGGGGAACTAGAGGTGCCGATGTCATCCTTACAAAGCTGCACTTTCCTGCAGATGAAGCAGATGACTCCCCAGAACTCAAGATCCAAGGTGCATCCTCTAAGTTCACAGTCCCAAATACCCTCCCTTCCAGTTTCTGGTATTATTTAGCTGTTAGGAGATTCCTGATCTAGAATGTTTTCTTATTCTGTGGGAATGTTCTAATCCAAGGTTTCCAGTTATCTAAAGAAAGTAGGGTAAGAAGGTTATGGTCTATATATATAAATGTCTTCAAATCCTGACACCACCATTTACAAAGGAAGAACATAGGACTGGTGAGTAAACCCTCTTTGGGTTCTTGAGTTATAAAATGTGGTATTTGGATCCTACCCCACTGGGTCACTGACAGGAATAAGCAGAAAATTAAACAAGATCCACTTGACTTACGTGTCTCTTGGAAGTTTCTTGGAGGGTCTCCTTGGAAACACAGGATATCTGAGAAGTTTGGTTCTGTCTGAGCTACTCCTCAACTCACAATATCAACCCCAACCCTCCTAACAATTAAAAACAAATCTTTCTTTGAAAACAAAACTTCTGTGATTAAAAATGAAGAGAATATTATTAGGATTTGATTTCTGAGAATGGATGAATACATACATGGTCATACAAAGTTTAAAAAGCCATCATGTTAATAAATCTGGCTCTTAGAGCAGGCCAAGTTTAGAGTGAATTGCATAGGAATAAAGACAGGGTCTCTCAATTCCAGGTGCAGACCATGAGGCAACAGCAGGTAAGGAGGTCTGTATGGGACACACTGCAATCCCCTGGCAAGAGTGGGCCAAGACTTAAGAACCATCACCATTTTAAATGTCTGTGAGGCAGCTGAGTACAAGGTAGAAGTTGGCTTATGGGTACATTCTGGATTTGCCATGCTGGGAAGTAATAATATGTATTGATTTATTTATATGTGTGTTTGTTCATTTGATTGGTTGGTTCTCTTACCATAAGAAGGGAGTTTCCAGAAAGCAATGGATAGTGACAACCCAAGATTGACTCCTTGTTGTCATGCATGGTCTTAGCAACATTCAGATAGTCTGTGCAAAGTTTGCAAACATCTTCCTAGAAGCTCATGGGAAAAGTCAGTAACTGGGTAGTTTTTAGCCTCAGAGACTATAGGACTGTGTTGTGTCTTGGAAATAAAGATACAATGGCTACTCTGACTGTGTTGAGTACTTGTATGAAGATTTTCAGGTGAACAGTGTTCTGGGCTTTCTTTCCATTTTTTTTTTTTCCTTTTACATACCAACCACAGATGCCCCTCTCATCTCCCCTCCCACTCCCCCACTCCCACCTTTCCCCACCACCCCTTATCCCCTCCTCCAAAAGAGTAAATTTTCCCATGGGGGAGAGCTAAGCCTGGTACATTCACCAGAGGCTAGACCAAGCCCCTCTGCCCCCACCCCACCCCCCCCCAAGAATGTATCAAGAATGAGCAAGATGTCTTACCATAGGTAATGGGCTCCAGAAAGTCAGCTCATGAACCAGGGACAGATCCTGATCCCACTGCCAGGGGCCCCTCAAACAGACCCAGCTAAACAACTGTCTCCTGTATGCAGAGGGTCTAGTCTGGTCCCATGCAGGTTCCATCCCTGTTGGTATAAAGTTTGTGAGTTCCTATGAGCTTGGTTCAGTTGTCTCTGAAGATTTCCCCATTGTGATCTTGACTCCCCTTGCTCATATAATTCCTCTTCCCTCTCTTTGACTGGACTCCTAGAACTTGGCCTGTTGCTTAGCTGTAGATCTCTGCATCTGCTCCCATCAGTTACTGGATGAAGACTCTATAATGTTAGTTAGGGTATTCACCAATCTGATTATCAGGTAGGCCAGTTCAGGCACCCTCGCCACTATTGCTAGTAATCTAATCTGGGGTTGTTCTTGTGGGTTCCTAGGACTTTCCCTAGCATCAGGTTTCTCCCTTACCCCATAATGTTTCCCTCTATTAAGATATCTCTTTCATTGCTTTCCCACTCTGTCCCTCCCCCATCTCGACCATCCTGTTCCCTCATGTTCTCATCCCCCATCCCCTCCCCTCTATTGCCACACCCATGCCCAGTTTACCCAATGAGATCTCCTCTGTTTCTCCTTCCCAAGGTGATCCATATGTCCCTCTGTGGGTCCTCCTTGTTTCCTAGCTTCTCTGTAGCTGTGAGTTGTAGTCTGATTATCCTTTGCTTTACATCTAGTATCCACTTATGAGTGAGTACATACCATGTTTGTCTTTCTGAGTTTGGGTTAATTCACTCAGGATGATATTTTCTAGTTCTATCCATTTGCTTGCAAATTTCATGATGTCATTGGTTTTTACAGCTGAGTAATACTCCATTGTGTATATGAACCATGGGATGGCTCAGCCATTAACGGCTAGACTCACAACCAAAAATACAAGAGTTCTGGGGTTTCTTATTGTTGTGCATGGATAAGGCATGTGCCTTGATTTAAATTTAAATGGCTTCCTCTTTGTGGAAAAATCCAATTAAGACTGTCTTGGGGATTTGGGTATATATTTTCATATACATATATACATATGGTCAAAGTTAAGAAAACCATACATTTAAATCTTCTTGTTTCATCCCAACACTTAGAACTTGAAAGACTATGCTTAAGAGGTAAGACCACAAATTCCCTTAATTTTGCATTCTGAAAAAGCCATGTTAACAAGTCAAAAGGAACCAGGAAAAAGAGGGTTCCTGAAACTTAAGTTTCACTAGCTTTAAGGTGAAGTTACTACTTTTGGGGGGTATAATAAAGTAAGTTTCCCTGGAAACAGTTGATGGAATTCTCCATGCCAAAGCACAAGCAATTTTGCACCTGATCCAAAAGGCCCCAGCAGAAGATTTGCATATGCTAATTTTCCTTGGAGGAGACAGTTCTATCTTATGGAAGAAAGGCAGAAGCAAGCCTGGTGCATCATATCTTAAGATAGTATACTATCCTTTCCAGTCACTTAGACAAAATACCCTGACAGAGGCAACTCAGGGGAGAAAGGGCTACTCTACTCCATAGCAGCAAATGCCTGGGGCAGCTGCTTACATCACATCCATGACCAGGAATGGACAGAGAGGAAAGCAAACATGCCAGCACCCAGCTCTGCCTTATTCCAGGGTCCAGAACATGAATCGATACCACCCATATCAGGGTGGGTTTTCCCACACAGTCCATCACAGCCATCCTGCAGGCTGACTTGATACAGACAATTTCCCAGGTGATTCTAGATTGCATTAAATTGATGAGTCAATGTAACCATCATAACCCCCTAGTCTTATCTAATGGTGCAAGACGTATGGTATGCTAGGCTCCACTTCTGCTTCCTCTTGGGACCTTGACATCAAGGTAATATCAGGTGTAGTTACTCCAGCAAGGCTTATGACTAAAGTATTCAGTGGGAGCTGGACATCAGAATTCAGCTTTACCTTACACTTCTGTTTTAGTCTTTTGCATCTTATATGATTATCTAATTAACTCGTGGGAATTATGTGCTACAAGCACAAGGAACCAAAGACAACTTAAAGAGAGGTATTTGCCTCTCTTTAAAAATGTATTCATATATGAACTAACTTGTAGGGGAGACTTACGCAGAATCACCCTAAATAGAGCTTAAGAGTAACTCGTTAAGCAATACTGTTTCTATCATTTCCTTAAGTGTATTGGGCAGCACAGTTATCCCAGACAGACTCATGGCGAAGGACACATTCTATGGCCAAATGGTATAGTAAAGGCTCTGAGAAGTCCTGTACTTGGGAGGAAAAAAAAATCTCTCACTCTTGTGTTAACTCAGCATTTTCCAAACATATGCTAACCAAAGAACACTGTCTATTAATCTGGGCAAACATATTTGAAACATTGGTTTCGGCATTTATTTAACATTTCCGAAGCATCCTCGCTGATGCACTTTACTTGATATTATAAATTCTTTTAGACAGTTACACAAGACAGTTTTCAGAGAAAACCAAATGACCCAAACCCCATCTTTCCAACCACACTGCTTCCAATAAGAAACTGCACCAGCATGGCGCACCCATCTGCTTCAGCTCACAGAAGCAAGGACTGGGAATCTTTTCAACATGACATCCAAAAGAAGACTGTGAATGTGCCATGGGGAAGGGGTGACATGCTCCCTCTTATCTCTCCATCCCATGGTGTGCTACTGTCTCTTTCCTCTGTCTCACTCTCCCTCTACATATGTATTTGTGCTCTCATTATTTTTTGCTCTTAGCTGCTTTCAATTTGGGAACTGAGAAAGCGCTTGCTTATTTGTTGAATTCGCTCTTGGCGGTGGAATGTAGTTCCAGATTTGGGGAGAGGGCATCGCATTATGCTGTGTATGAGATGAGTAACAGTTCAACCTGAAGCTATTTTTTTTGAGTGAAAATTCAAGCACCCCTGGGAGGCTGACACTTTCCAACAAAGCTGTGCCCCAAAGGAAAAACAAGTTTCCAATTTAGATATTAACAAATGCGTTAAGTCAAAGGTTACATTTGATAAGTCAGCAGTTTCTCGATGTAATAAAAAGACTTTTCCCCCCAATGCAGAGAACTGTTTGCCTCCTCTCTTTCCTTGGTGGTGGTGGAGGGTATTGGGATTATCTTTACATTTCAGGATAAATTTTTGCACAGGAGTCATGGAGAGAAGTGGCAATAACATCTGCTCTGGGAATTGTGAGATATTTTGTTCTTTGTGGCTCCTGAAAACAGAGAATAATATCCTATTGCATATTCACAATAATTTCTTCATCTAAGTCATAATTTCTAAGCCTCGGTTTCCTTCCCTGGAACATAGAGTACATTCAAACTTCGATTATATTGAAGAGGAGAGCCAGGTGCTGTAGTGCACACTTCTAATCACAGTGCTTGCAAGCTGAGGCAGGAGGATGGCCATCTGGAGTCCAGTTTATATTACAATGGTTTTCGTCATTGGTTTTATAAACAGGGCCTCACTACGTCGCTTAGGCTGTCCTCCAAGATTCTCCTGCCTCATGTGCCCTCATTCTCTCATGCTGGGATTATAGGCATGTACCCTCTGACCCTCTACAAACAGCCATTACTTCAATCTAAAGGTCAGTGGACAATTCAAGTGCCCACTTCTTTCTAAACTGTCGGGGTAAGGGAGCCTTTTCAACTGTTCAAATTTCAGTTTTGACTAGCTTTCTGGTGGATGCCATTCTCTTTGGCATGATGAACAACGGACAACCAAAACACGATCTACTCAGTCCTTCATCCTTTGAAGCTGGGGGCCATGAGCATGACCTGGAACCAAGTAAGCTCCCAAGAGAAGGAAAGCTGAAGCGTTGACTATTACCAGTTCATTCATAATGAACATGCCTGTAGGCGAGAGCTGAGCCACCATTACCCTAAATTAGCCAGAGATTTACCTCGGAGAGAAGGCTCTGTAGTCCCCATTACTAAGAATTCTTAGATTTATATTTGAATAACATTGAACTAAATTGGGTTAAAGTCATTTTGAGCAGGTTGGGAGGAGAGGCTCACTATAAATTATCCTATGAAATTATTGAGATGGAGGTGAAATTTCCAAAAGGCAGTCTTCACTGGACAAAACGGACTGACCAACGATTGCTGAGCGTCTGCTTCAATCTATATATTTTTTTAAAGTCCAAACTCAAAGGCGAGCTCTCTTCATTCCAACTGTACCCCGAACGCTCTCCCCCATAAAATGTGGTTTAAAGGCCAGCTGCAGTGTGGAGCCTTTTCTCGGAGCCCACAGTTTCAAACAAACGACTGGGCAGAAGCCAGAATCTATATGGGCTCACGAAGACTGTAAAACATTTGGTGCCTAGTGGGAAACGACGCCTGTGAGCTCCGCCAGACGTCTTCAGCTTTCTTGCACCTGTGCCAAGTGTTTTACAGTCGTCCCCCCCACCCCTTTCCTTTGGAAGGTGGGGGTGGGGTGGGGGAGCAAAGCGAGCGTTCTGAGGGCATATGCCACAGGAGCTGAAAACCCACTCCTACCATCGACACTGCTTTCCCTTTCAGCCTTTTTTGTAGGTAAAATGAGGACCTTGGCCAAGCTTAAGACTGGAATGGTGGTATCTGAGCCTCCTTGACTCTAACATTGGTCCATGGCTTCTCACAATCCTGCCCTCTCCATCACCTCGCTCCCGCACTTCACTGGAAAAACCCCTCCTTCCAATAGACTTACCATCGTCCATCACTCACCTCAAACTGCTAATTACTTTAAGGAGATAATGTGCGCATTGACACAGTTTGCAACACGAATATATATATATATATGGAAGAAAGTATATGTTTCTTAAAGGACGAACACCCAAAATGTTTTCGGATGAAAGTGTGAAATTGTCTAAACATAGATGACACGATACAGATCATGTGAAAGTCAATTTGAAACTACCCTGGAATCCTACAAGGCTGTTTTCAGAAGAAGGGGAGTTTAGGGAAGGGTGGTCCATCTTCTGCCCTGCACGGCAGGTTATAGCAAACTATCCAATGGGCCCACAATGATTGGTGTCTTTATTCTTGTGAAATTTGTCACTCGATTTGACAATCCTATGAGATGAAGAATCTAATTTTTCCAATTCATGGATTGGGAAATTGAGGGTTGAAATTGTAAATATAGC